ATGCTGCTGACGAAGGTGACCCGAGTGCTGTAGGCGGGCGCCTTCTTCGGCTGCTGCACTCGGTACCAGTCGATACAGTGCAGGGCGGTGGTGTTCACCACTTCTCCGACACTTCTGCTCTCAGCGGCAGCACTGCCGCCGCCACCGACCACAGCGGATTTTTTCTGCGCCATTCGCAGTGTGCTGTACAGCAGTCGGCCGGCGACGGCGTTCCACGAGTCGTAGTCGCTTCTCATTGTGGAAACGGTGGGCAGGTAGAGGCCCTTGATAGCGCCCACTCCGACGCCTCCCTTCAGCGGACTGAGCAGCAGCTTTTCATGTGCCTGACAGTACAGCGCCAGACAGCAAGCGTCCAGCAGGGGCACCGCCTTCTCAGAGGGCGGAATCACCGGCAGATTAGCGGAGACGACGATGTTGCTGGGACAGGGCTCGGCGAAGCCGACGCTCGTCTCACTGCCCGCATTGGCGCCCAGACTGTCCAGTGGTGCTAGTGCTGCTGCTGGTGGTGATGGTGGTGGTGGTGGACTTGATGGAGCAGTGGAAGCCATGATAAAAGAGATGGCAATCTAAATCGTGAATTTTGTCAAATGATAAACTGTTGTAAGCTGCCTGAAATGACAAATCAAAATGCTGTGTTGTGTGACGTGTTTCTCCTTTTGAATGCATCAAGTTTGTCTAATTTCAAAGTACCGTCATCATTTAGAATTTAGAAGTTGGTCAACTTGTAAGTAAAAAAATTGCAAAATAGAAACAGTTGTCTTAAAGTCAATTCATAATCGTTAAAATAGAAATCAGATACAAAAAAATTAGCAGATGAAATCACTATGGTGAGAAATGAAACAGTAAACAGTAGATAAGTTATGCTAAAAATGGTGCAATTTAGACAGGTAAAACTGGTGTTTGTCGTAATTAATTATCGTAGTCACAGAATAGACAGGATACACCTTTCGCGTCCATAGTGTTCTTGAAGTGAAGTAGAAGGTTGGAGTACTCGTCCCACCAACTTGCCAGTTTGCGTTCCCACTTGATCGCTTGGATGAGACAATGTGAGGGTATCTCATTGACGTATAGCTCCAGCTGGCGCAGCTTCCTCGTCAGTATCGGTGTGGGCAGGTGCAGCAGAAAAAGGTGCTCGATGATCACCTCCATCGTTTCCAATTGGCACTCTTGGTGAGCAGGCAAATAAGAAGAGTCCATTTTTAAAAGTGGAAACTTGACAACAAAAAGTTTTCAAAACGTGGTCAGATAAATAAAAGATTGTCGTCAAAAAGTGAAGAGTTTTATGAGAGAAATCGAAGGGATGAGGTTCTTTTTGATGAGTTAAAAAGGTAACCTTCTTCTTTGACGCTGAATATTACATAAACTGTTGCATAAGTTCAACAGCTTTTTATAATCTTGCAAACTCATCTTTAGAACTGATAAGATAAGTGTGCTGCAGACTTTGAACTTTCAGTGAACGATGAGTAGAAATCGATTCCAGCCGATTCTGACCCTCCAAATAAAATGTGATGGCAACAGGTGGAAACTGATTTCTTTTTTCCAATGCAAATAATGTCAATAGAAGTCACAAAATCAAGGCGTAAAAGTGAATAGTCATAAGTGTATGTACAATAATCAGTAATCTTCTTTCTTTCTTTTAGCACTCACTGTACAGCCGACTGTAGTTAATGAGAATAAAGTTGAGCAGCGCCCCGGTGGCCGCGCCAAACTGCTGGTTCATGCCCACCCAGAACATGCCTTTTCGCGAGTTGTAGTCGCAGATCCAGAGGGTGATCATCGTCTTTGAGTATGACAGTATGCCCACGTAGGCAATCCAGCAGAGCACCATCAGTATGCCGCCCACCGGGGAGTCGACCAGCGGCGGCGAGGGCGACATCAGCGCACAGGCGAGAATGTACAGGGCAAGGGTGGTGCCGATGGCGGTCAGCAGGTTGATCAGCCGCACTGACTTTGCCTCGACAAGCATGCCAAAGAAACAGCCTGTTGGGTAGGCGAGGCCGCTCAGGACGACGATGTAGTGCAGCACTTCGACGCCGTACGGCAGGGCTGAGTAGGGCTAGAAAGTTGCAAAAAGATTTAAAAAATGTTTTTAAAAGCGTTTGTTTTATATTGTTACCTGCACTGGTGGAAAGAAGCCAAAGGTGGTGAAACAGTTAAGGAACATCAGCGCGAGGAGGTAGTAGTAGGTTCTCTTCTGTTTGTCCTAGAATGTTAATAGCTTTAGAAAGTTTTAAATGATGAAAAGTGTGATCAACTAACAAACTGTTCAGTAGCCCCCTCGGATGCCACTGAATTTATCCTATTGAACCGTCTATTGCCAAAGCTGTCATCATCGCTGTCCTTTTCACCAAAAATGATCACCTCTTCCTTTTCATTCTCATCATCAAGTGGAATACAGTCAAAGTCATCCGAGTTGATCATCGGTCCGACGACTCCATTTTCTTCAGAAGTTTCAGCTGCAGCTGCCGCCGCTGCCGCCTCCTCCATCATTCTCTCCTCATAGACCACCTTCTTGTAGACCTTGAGCTTCTTTGCATTGGCTTTCAGCTGCTGCCGCTTCCGTGCATTGGCCATCTCCTGCTTGGCCTCGGGCAGCAGCTGCAGCGTACAGAAGCCAATGTAGCTGATGAGCAGTGTGCTGAAGAGCGATAGGAAGAAGACCTCCACGCTGAAGATGGGCTCAATCAGACTGGAGGCAGAAGAGGCGCTCCTCTCCAGCTGATCAGTGTCCAGCACCTGCAAAGTGGTGGTCAGATTGGCCAGCTGCTCTCGAAAGGGGGCGCTGGCGTTCACCACACTACCGACAGCAGTGGCGTTGAGGGCAATGTCGGCTGAGGAGGTCAGCTCGAGGCACTCCTTTCGGTTCTCCCCTACGCCCTGAATGAGCGCAAACATGCTAGGAATAAAGCCGCTCAGGCCCTCACCGACCAGGTAGGGTGTCATGTAGCCGCTGTCAAAGCGGGCCATGAAGGGCAGGAAGGTCACCGAACTGGTGCAGTCGACGAGCGCCAGGCCAAAGGTGGCCACAAAGAGGACCAGGGAGTGGCGCTTCCCTCGGATCTCTACCGTCCAGTCCCAGGCGAGGATGAGCACCAGACAGCTGGCGATGCCGATGGACATTTGAATGTGCGTCGCGGTGATCTCATTGAGGAGGCGCTTCTTCCGCGCAAACCAGTAGAGAAGAGGGCCGATGTTGGCTATCTGTATCATTATGTTCAGGTAGGAGGCAAGGCGCCAGCCTTCTGGTAGGCGTTCAATCAGCAGTGGCATCTCCAGCCAAAGGCCGGTGATGGCGATCCAGGAGCCCATGCCAAAGATCAGCGCCAGGGCGGATACCTTTGGAAGAAGGCGAATGGTGGGAACGCCAGTGGACCCTTCCTCCTTTCGAACCTGATGGTAATCATGGCCTTTCTTTGAGTTTTTAGAGGTCATTTTTGTTAACTTAAATGGAGATTTTGATGAATTGTTGTTGTTGTCTTCGTTGTTTGATACTCTGTAGTGCGGCATTGAAGATTTTATGTAAGCTGGTCGATTGTTTTGTGTAGATATTGTTCAACATGTAAAATCTCTATTTGTCAAAGAAAATGTGAGCAAAATGGATACTTTTGAAAGTGGTCATTTCTTGAGAAAAGTCAGTTTACAAGTTGAAAAGCAGAAAACGTATGGAATTGTGGGATTAACCTTAAAAGTTTATTGACAACTCAATGTTTTACATGGCTGATGCTGGCAAATGAATGTGTATGATTGGCGACAAAGATGAGTTGCCGATTTGCTTAACTTTGTACAAGTGCAAAGGAGAAATCTGGCGACTGATAAGCCCTGTCACTGAGAGTAGTGCAATCGATTTTATTTTATTTTTTCGCTGTAAACATTCAGCTGGTGATAAGCAATCGAGAAGTCTGCTGTCAGAAGTCTGTTGCTAGCATAGTCAGTGTATCTGCCTGCCTTAGTGATTGATGTGAGTGACTTTCTGTCCACTTTTACCATCATCCTGACACACCCTCCTGTCATTATCACCGTTTTCTAATTTCCCTCTTCAACCACTGTACCAAATGAGCAGTGATGAACATGCTCAACGTGACTTTGGTCTGGCAATGGCAGTATGCGGTGGCAATTATTGAAAATTGCAGCAAAAGAGTTATCAATCCATTATATTTTTCAATTTTTAATTTATCTAATCTAATGTAAAAAACATTTTGAAAAAACTTTGCTAAAAATGCTACATCCTTTAGATAAAAACAATAAAAATATGTTAACAATTTGGTTATCAGTAAATGATTAAAAACCACCTAAAATAACAGTAATCATGGAGTAATAAATAAAAGTATTTGTCTTTCTAAAAAAAGCTTTGACATTTACAACTAAAAACTATTTTTGTTCTGTCTCATTTGACAGATGAAAAACAGTAACAACCTGTTACAGGTAACCTTTTAACCATTTCTTTTGTCAATTTATGGATTGAATCAAATATAATCAATAAAAAGCAGTATATAAGTTGAAACATAGGCTGTTACTACTATTTTTAATTGTAAACAAAATTATAAAAAACTGATTTAAATCCCAAACACAAAATGAAAATTACTTTAGTATTGTTTTTGTTTTTTATTTTAGTGCACATCACTAATGCTTTCCCATTTTCCGATTGGGGCAAGGGTTTACTTGACAANCAATTTATGGATTGAATCAAATATAATCAATAAAAAGCAGTATATAAGTTGAAACATAGGCTGTTACTACTATTTTTAATTGTAAACAAAATTATAAAAAACTGATTTAAATCCCAAACACAAAATGAAAATTACTTTAGTATTGTTTTTGTTTTTTATTTTAGTGCACATCACTAATGCTTTCCCATTTTCCGATTGGGGCAAGGGTTTACTTGACAACAAAAGCAAAAACAGAAATGCCAATTTTGAAAATGATTTTAGTGAAGACAAAGGCTCCGGTGTTAAATCTGACGACGACGAAGACGACAATGATGACAACGACAATGACAGCGGCGAGCACATTAAGCACATTTCAGAGCACAAAAAAATTCCGCCAAAACAGCATATACCCGAACGTCAGCACGTATCTGAAAGTCAGCAGAAACCCGTAATTCCGCAGAAACCCGAAAGTCCGCAGATACCCAAAGCTCAGGACGATTCTTCTTCGGGTGGATTTCTTTCTTACCTCATTGGCCTATACAACTCAGTGAAAGACTTGTTTGCAAAGTACTTTGGCCCAGATAGTACGCTGACTAAGGTTTTCAGTTTCCTCAAAGAAAATAAAGAAACAATCAACAGTTATCTCTGATTGGTGCCTT